ACCTGACTGAAATCTTTTTGCTGAGAGAGAAATTGTCTAGGCATGCACGAAGTACTGAACATGACACAGTAATTCGTTCAGAACAATAAAACTATTCAGTTAAAATGCAACCATAACAGTTATTACAGTGTTTCTCCTTCTGACTTCTGGAGAGAAAAGTTACATTGACAGAGGATTCATGAGAAAAAAGTATAAATAAACAGTCTCAAATGAATATTCTGCCCATGGACTCTCGCAGTCTTAAAAAGGTTCTGAATCAGGCTCCCAAGTTTTGTCTATTTTGTTTTTGGTTGAGGTCATATACTTCCTGATTTTATTGCACTGCATGACTTTACCTGCCTACGCTTTTACTTGCTTCCTGTCCAGTTGATTCAGCAGTTGCTCTGAATCACTGTGTTAAAATAATCAGTTACTGTACTTAAAGGCCCCTTAACTTTAAGGCAGTGAGGAATGAATATGTCCGTGCACAGAGGGAGGCAAGAAAGCAGCTTTGCCTACTAATGAAGTCGAAGTATCGCTCACTCACTCACTCACTCACTCACACGCACCCTGTAAAATACTAAGTACCTATATTAGATTCTTAGAAAAATGAAGACATCATATTTCCGTTTTTGTGTCTTGTAGCCTAGATGCCTCAATATGTGGCTTCGTTTGCTAATGACAGCTTTAAAATTAGGTGCCAATTACCTAAAGCCATGGTATTTGCTTGTAAAGGAAATTCCCCAATTTATTAATTTACACATTAGTTCAATGAAGGCTACCTTTCCATCTTTCTGTCTGTTAAACCTGTGAAATGGCCTTAACACTTTGGTGAGAAAATATTAGGCCTATAGCGTGATTGGGAAGTTGAAAAACATCCTGGAAGAAGACAATAGCCAACAGTTAATACATAGTTGCTATTAGAACTGTCCATGAGGTTACAAGAAATTAAGCTTGCCTCAAACTTTTTAGAAACATTTATTTAATGGTCTACTGGTTAATGGTCTAACAGAAGATGCATTTCATAAATCTTAGAAGTGCACAAAAGTATGTATATAGACAGGTGATTCATGAGGTGAGGACAGTACTTCTTTGAACCTAGTTTGTTCAGAGTATCAGGGCACTAATGTCCCTTGAAGACATGTTGTTGGCATTACTGCTGAAGTATCATTAGAGATAAATGTCTTGGACAGATTCACTCTAGAGAAGTAACACACAGAGGAAGGATTAACCCCCCTGCTCTATGCCACAACCTCCATCAGAGTAAGATCCCTTACAATTTGGCCCAGAGAGGGGAATGTGTTTGTTTCTGCTAACCCATTGTTTTGCTAAAAGTTTCATACAACTTCTATAGTTCTAAATGGCCTGAGATTTTCTTGGGTCATGAACACAATATTTAAGGAGTGTTTTTATATTACTTGCCTGAGAAACAATGGTATCAATTTTGATCTCATTTTTGCTTTTGTTTTCATTCAAATCATTCTAAATGGTAGTGGCTATTCCTGAATTCATTAGTGTTTCACAAAAGCTGTGCTACAAGACTGATTAGGAAAACAGTTCCCTACGTACACGTGTGGCATTAGTTCACCATACTTGCAGCCAAATTTAATGTATGCTCTAAAGTTGGATTTCCACCTTTGAAACAATCACATTTCTAAATGAAAAATAGAAGCTGGAAAAGAGTTGGATGCAAGCCCACAGCCTGGGAATGCTACTTGACTCTCACTTGTCACTGGATTTACTGGATTGGAGCACATTTGCCCAATCACAACTGGTGGCTTGCTATGACTTTTCCTGGCCTAGTTCAATCTGGCAATTGCCTCTTGACTACTTGACTACCACCATTTATTCTTCTGAGAACCAGTCTTAAAAAAACGTTTGGAAGTTGCTGGTGGTGGAAAAATGTGGCTGCTAGGCTGCTAATTGGTGCAAGATATAGGGATTGTTTGATTCCTCTCCTGAGGGACCAGCATTAGTTGCCAATTGTTTATCAGGTGCAATTTAATATCTTAAATGACTTAAGGCTTGACTAAGACTACTTCTCTGCTATTAGCCTGTTCAGGTTTTAAAATCTGAAGAAGTCCTGTTTTTCTGGCACTTGGAAAGGACCTTCCCCTGTGTGACTCCTAGGCTGTGGAATCTCTGCCTTTAGGGGACACATTTCACCCTGGTTAAAACTCTGAGAACGACCAAGCCTCAAATCTTTGACCAGAATTTCATGGGCAAATGTCAACTGGCACGGTCAATTGAAATGGTTAATTACAAATTGTCAATTTTGTGTGTACTATTATTTTTCAGTTTTCTCTCCTTTCCTCTCTTTTTATGTCAGTTTTTGATAGCTACCCAGATTGAATAGAAATGCAGGACATACCTCAAATAAATAATAAAAATAATAATGTGCATTAAAGTAATAAGCAGATGTTAGCATTGTTATATTAAATATTTAATTCTAATTAGCCTTTTACAAGACCTAAAATGAAACCATATATTTTAAAAAATCTTGTTAAAAATTTTGGCAAATTAGCAATTATTAGTGGCATCAGATTCCCAACATCACACTTGGTTGTATCCTCTCATCTTCTATGACTGGTGTGTATGGGGAAGGGGGCTTCAACCTTTTTTTTTTACTAAAGACTACCATTTCTTTCTATAAGTCAGCCTCTGAGAACCATAGCAATAGTGGTAGTAATTGAATGATATCAGAGGAGAAGGAAAAACTCTAACTTTTTTAGAGTGGTGTGTCATAGAGTTTAACCATTTAGGGTAACTTTCAAAAGAAGCAGTTATTGCACTCTGGGTGATCATTTAGTCCAGACAACTACACTCAATATAATAGACCTTCATGATCACTGAAGGAAAGGGGAAGTTAGGGAAGTAACACAGAATCATTTAAATGTTATGCTGATCTTAAACATGACATTTCAAAAACTTGGAGTCATTTTCAGTTTCAATTTATTATGGCCAGTAAAATTCTTAGCTTTGTGGATTTAAATATGGCATTTTTTCTGGGTTATATATTCAAATGGTTTGATGTTCCCTAGACATTTTAAACTTGGAATGTCTTTTAATAAAGAAATAAATCGGGGGAATTCCACACTCCAGGGGACTTGTGGCTGCAGCTAACTCCTTTCACTTTTCCATATCCATATGTTTCCCTAATAATATTTAATACAAGTAATGTGTGACATATCATTTCATGAGTACTTCAAACACTTCACATTTCTTTTAACAAGTAGAACTTGAGTAGTACTAAGGGGATGAGTAAAAATGAAGATTATTAGCAGCCACACATTCTTCATGTAATATGTAGTTCAATCCATATGGATTATGAATAAATCCAGTAAATTGTCCATTAATTATCTTTTAAACATTTATAAAGTCTTGTAATCTAATTTGTTCCTCAAACCCTCAATATGTTATGTCAGAGTTGCACAGCAGGGCTGGATCTGGTCCTCAGAAGACTTGGATGTGGGTCCCCTAAAAATTATTCAAAGCCTGTCATTAAGCGCTGCTATTTTTCATGGAAATAAGTGGGAAATTAATAAAGGCACAAAGGGAGAGTAATCATATTAACCACATTAATGAAATTTAAATGCTATCAATTTCAGTTTTTATCCCTGCTTCTTCATCCTGGCCTCAATTATGAAGTGTGCCTCTAGCATGCTACTGAAAGAATAAGTGTGGTCCTTGATCCATAAACACATGCACTGCTTGTTTCCTATGAAATGGTTATATATTACATAGATAACATATGTAGTGACATCATAAGCAATTATGGATTTGGTTATCCTTTCACAGGTTGAAGGATGGGTTACCTGCTGCTGAAATGTGTGCCCGATATAAAATTAAAGGTTACTCACTAATCATAAAACATGTTGCTGAAGAAGATGCAGGGAACTACACTATAATGTTGAATACGCGGCAGTGGAACCTACATAAAAACTTAACAATAACACTCAGAATAAATGGTGAGTCCACAGTAATATTGATATCAATGATAGTAAACTGCAATCCTGTAGACACTTACTTGAAAATTAAGTACTGTTGAATTCTAAGTAAACATAAACATTCTAAATATGATTCCATTGTCAAAGATCACATTATTATGCTGGAATCACCCTATCTGACAAAGAGATTAATGTCTAAAAAAAGAGCATTTCCATATTCAGCTTTTGTGCCACCAGCTGACTAGCCAATGTGCTGCACTACCATGCAAATGTCTATAAAGACTGCTTGTTTGAACCAGGCAGCACTGCCTGCAGCCAGTGCCCTGTTCTCATCTTCACTCTTCACCTCATTGCAGTGGCTTCTTACAAAAAGAAGGGAAAAAATAAACAAGCTAGTTGCTGTCAGGTGAGCAGCAAAATTGCTTCTCTGCTGGAGAAGGATGGGGTGGAAGGAGCTCAGGCACTTGGATTCTGGAGAGAAAGGGGAAATTCTAGAGGCAAGAGTTAGGACAAGTTAGAAATCTGTAGCCCCAGAGCAAGCACTGCAAAACTGCTGTTGCAGCACCTCTGAAGTAGAAGACAAATAGATTACCTTGAGGAGTTAATTTCTGACTTTCCAAGATTGTTGGAAGCCCCACTGCATTGTAGGGACACATATGTGCAGCTATGATGTCAGATCAACACATCAACACACACTGCATGTGGAAGGAACCAAAGTCTTAGTTTTTCTTTTGAGACAGTAATGTGCACTTTCTTTCCATTTTATTTTAGAATAAGATTTCAGTTTATTCCTGTTCTTGTTTGTTAACAGTGAAACCTCAGATTTATGAAAAAGTGTCGTCAATTCCTGGTCCTAATCTCTATCAACTAGGAACTAAGCAAATTTTAACATGCATTGTTTATGGTATTCCTCAACCTATGATCAAATGGACTTGGCAACCATGTCAACAGAATCATTCCAGAACAAGGTATACCATTTTAGATCCTTGCTTACAGTACTCTATCATTGCCCTCCAATGTTTTCATTAAAAGTCGTCTTCATACAATTTGCAACTCAAATTAATACATTTGTGATGTCTTAAGGTTAAAAATTATGGTTCAAATTAATTATATTGGTATTTCAAGCTACTTATATAGAGGAGGAAGTGGGACACTTCGATGATGCAAAAGTTGGTTTTATTGTGGAGTTCTTGGTGCCCATTGAGACTGGTCATTTGCTTGCAGATGCTTCATTACCCAACTAGGTAACTTCATCAGTGCTGCTGGTTTTGTTCCTTGGGCAGGTCATGTGAAGACATTATTGGGATGAGAAGAAATTAAACAAACGCTGTGTTTTACCCTGAAATTATAGCATGCAATATACAATGCTTATAAACATGATGCTTAATCATCAGTTTGAAGATCTTGCCTTGTATATGTGTCAGATTGACAGATCTGTAGTTTCCTGAGTCCTCTGCCTTCCCTTTTTGAAAATGGTGGTAACTTTTGCTCTCCTCCACTTTTCTCACCAGTCCTCTGGAGAAGTGCTCTGTTAAACCTTTCATTGGTTATGCTATGGTGCAGTTTTTCCTTTCCCAAGTAGCACAAACATAACCAGTTAGGGTTCCATTTCCAAAGAAGATCAAAAATAGCGGTTAAAAACTTCTGTCTTCTCACCCTCGCCCATTCATCTTATTATTGTTACTTTCTCTTTGGCTTTTCTTTTATTTCCAACATACTCACCTCATTCTGAGATTTGACTTTTTTGACAAGAGTTCCTATAGTTTCTTACACTCTTCTTTGGTTATGTTCCCCTCCTTCAATTTCTTATATATGTCCCTTCTCCCCTCACCTATATATGTCAGGACTTCTGCATATAACTGCATGTATAAAGACACGCCTTTTTAGATATCTTCCATTTTTCCTTCTTGTGGGGATTGTTTGTAATTGTGTCTTCAGTATCTTATTTTGTAGAATTTCATATTCTTCCTGGACACTTTTCTCCTTTAGAGTTTCGAGATCTGACCTATCTTCCTTAGTGTTCATAACAATCTGTTCTTCTGAGGTCCAGTATGCAGGTCTTAGTTACTCTTCTTTTGGATAGCACATATTCAAGGATAACATGATCACTTTTCCCCAAGATGCCATCTTTAATTCTTCACCTAATCCCTGCTTATTGGTGGGGATTAAGTCCAGGATAGGAGACCCTACTGTACTTTCTTTCACCTTTTGACAAATGGAGTTGTCAAGGAGAGAGGATGAGGATTCGTTAGATCTCTGGGTCTTGGCAGGGTTAGATTCTCAGAAAATGTCAAGATACTTTAAATCCTCCATTATCACTATTGCATGCCTTTTCAAAAGACTGGTCACCTGATACAAAAATACCACATCTGTAATGTCTGCCTTCCTTGGTGATCTGTAATGAACACCCCCAAACAGTATTGCCATTGTTTATTTCTTTTATTTTTACCCAAATACCTGCAACAGGTTTTCCATGGTCTGATTTTCTGTGAATGTCTCTCTCTCTCTCATTCTCTCTTTCTCTGATATCTCTCTATCTATTATCTACCTGCCCATCCTTTCTCTTGGGTCTGTTACTTATGAATAATTTATAGCCTTCCAGTGCTATGTGCTAGTCATGAGTATCATCATGAATCAGGCCATTCTCTCATCTTAAGTACTATATTGATTGGCAGTTAAGAACAGCATTCATAGCCATACCTGGAGATATCAAGGACTGAACCTGGCATCTTTTCATGAAAGAAATACGCTTACAGAGCTATGGTTCTTCCCTCCTTCCCTTTCTATTGACGGGATTACAGAGGAATAAGAATTGGCTTGGAGATGCACCACAAACTTCCGCTTACTGAATATGACCAAAATATACTGCTGGGTTTCCTACTAAGAAAAACATGATGCCCTTAATTTCTGTAAACAACAAAAATCAAAAGAAGGGAGGGGCTGGACAAAAGGGAGAAGAAATGAGTTTCAAGGAAATGGACCAGTTGTCAGCAGAAAGACATAATGAAGGAGAATTGAGCAATGAAAGACATACAGATGGAAACATTGTGGTTGCATTGTGGAAGAGAAGAAAGTTGATTATGCAACAGACTGAAAGAGGCCAACCCAATTGTTCCTTTGAAATCTGCTTTACAGTTGAAGAGTTCATAAGACTGTGGGGAAAGATTGTGCAATCTCTGAGACAAATCTCCGTATTCACACACTCACACTCTTCTGAGTGGGAGAGAAAACACATTGACAGGATTTGGTTTTAGCTTAGCTCAATAAACCATGCTTAAAACAGTTTCATTTAACCCATGAACTCAATGGCTTTCTCACATTCCTTTCACCCTTGAATGAAGACTCAAAAAGATCTTCATTATAGCTGAGTAAAAGTGCTATCCAATAGTTTTTTTCCTGGCAGTAAATATATTGGCATAAATTTTGCTGCCCATATGCCTACCACATACAGGGTATTAAGAACAGGGATTGGCGGAGCCCCCTGGCTTTGTTTCTCTGCTTTCCCATCGAACATTACTAGTCAGAGTGAACCATGCACTGAACACTCTCATTAATGTAGCTGGGGCAGAAAGTAAATTGCTCTGAGTGTAAGTACCTGGCACCATTACCTTCAAAAGGAGACTAGTTGACATCAGCTATTTATTTATTTATTTATTTATTTATTCATTCATTCATTCATTCATTCATTCATTCATTCATTCATTCATTCATTTAACATACTTCTATGCTGTTGCAATCCAAATGACACTCGGTGGCTTACACCAAAAGAATGCTATTCCAAAAGAACACTAAACTCATGTTGAAAATCAGCCCAAATAGTAGCTGACAGGAGTAGGGAAAGTTGTTTCATGAAGCAGCAGAGAAGGAAACAGCTCTCTGTACTACATCACCATGTAAACTTTCCTCCCGCTTCAGCCACCACTGTCCAGCTGCTGTTCAGGCTGATCCAGGTCCCTCAGCCAGGTATTGAGTCTGCACGCTACTAGGTAAAGATGAGAGGTTGGTCTGAAAAATACTCTCCTGCTGCCAAAGCAGAAGACTTTGCCCAGAAACTGAAGAGGAGAGAGGGCCTGCACTTGCTAAAGTGGACAATAGATGCTAAGCTGACTGTACCACTAACAGAATGGTCAGTAAAGTGCATTAGATGGTATCCACAGCAAAACCGTGCTGCATTAAGGGCAAGCATGACTGTAATACTGACATTGCTAAGGGCAACTTTATGCTGACTTAGGCATGGGCTTGGGATGAGACAAAGACATTGTTCTGAAAAGGTGCTATGGCAGGCTTGTGCTGTAGGTAGATGCAGATGAGGAAAGATTGAAAGACAAACCACTATGACAGTTTCACATCCAAAGAGAGAAAATAATCCCTCAATTTTTTTGCCCACAAAATTTTAATGGGGTTAGGAACAGCTATTTCTGTAAAGCAGAGTTCCCTAACCAGACGTCCTCTACATATGTTGGCTCTTGACTCCCTCAATACCACAGTCATCTTGTGTCTGTGTTGATCAGATTAGCTCTCGTTGTAGAGAAGATTGTTCAACTTGGGCACTTCAGCTGTCAGAGTGTGTGGTTAGGTGGGACAGATCTGACTCCCTTGAGCTGGGAAAGATTGTTTCTTCATGACATTTTTTATGTGACATCTCATGGCAGCTAAGAAAGCAAGTCCATTTTCTATAGAAGAGTGCAGGTCTAGATGACACTAGCTCTGTTTTTTTTAAGATTTTTTTAAAATTCCGCCTTTATTATTTTTATAAATTACTCAAGGTGGCGAACATATCTAATACTCCTCTTATTTTCTTAATCCTCCTCCTATTTTCCCCACAACAGCCTTGTGAGGTGAGTTGGGCTGAGAGAGAGTGACTGGCTCAAAGTCACTGAGCCAGCTTTCATGCCTAAAGTGGGACTCACAGTCTCCTGGTTTCTAGCCTGGTGCCTTAACCACTAGATCAAACTGGCTCTTATTATTTCATATTACCACAATAAATGAACTACTGTGTTCTGAAATAACAAAGATGTGGTCTTTTGCAGAAATCTTTTTAAAAGCTTTATGTTACCCAGTTCAGTGTGTTACACAGAATGGCATTATACACTCAGTGGAAGTCAGTTCTTTAACTTCTAGTGTCACAGTGATATTCCAATTTATAATTTAAGTGCTGATTTTATCAATATAAAATCTAAACAATGATTATGGTACATAAATTCCTCCTTGTGTTCATTCTCAGGAAGTCTGATGGTTCCAAAATTCATACTAGCCATTTTTCTATTTAACAGTATTTTTGTAGTTATTCAAGTTATTACTAAAATATTGGCCATGTTTATTGTGGTTTATTGAAGTAAATCTTCATGTAGGCCTTCCTGGGTTATGCTGCTGTTGATGAGGAAGAAGTCAATTATAAGGTAACTCCATCATGGAAATTATGGTAGCAGATGGAATTTCTGCCTGAAGGAAACCCTTACTCTATTGGGAGACAACAAACCTAATTTTATGTTGGATAGTGTGAAAATGGCTGCATCTCTATTTCTGATCTTCAGAGGTAATTGCTAAATGGCACCATTCATATATGTAACTGGAAGACATCAGTGTATGGAGAACGCCCCCCCCCCAAAACCTAATAAAGAAATTGAAAATGTTCAGTGAAAGAGGCTGTTGACTGACTGTTCAGAAGTAAGAGAAAAATCGAAGAAAAAGGGAAAGTAACAGGGTAACATGGATACTCACACTTCAGTGTCAAAAGTTCCCTGTGTTTGTTTTATTTTTCCTTTTCTTTAACCAATACTCCTGAAATTTGACCAGGTGAAACAACTACCTAGTTCCTGCCTGAATCCAAAATTCTGCTTTAAGGACAATACATCTTTGGAATTTTAAAATAATGAAGTTAAAGGTCAGGTATAATAATTAATTGAAAGATTCCAAAGTGTTTTGGGTCAACAAAGTAAAAAAAAAAAAAATTGACATGTGATGCTCA